TTTATTGTACAGCCTAGAGATAAAACATATAAACAGTTTTTAAGGCAAAGACTGGAATTTTCCTAGGCTCGTGCCCTGACCGCTATGTTACTGGTTTAAATGCTTTTCTGGGCCTTGGGGATCTTGACTTAACACTTCACACAGTAACATGCTTCACGAGGAGGATGCAGAGTACCCCTTCCAGTCCCCAAAAAGTCCTAGTGGATGGAAATGTTTTTTGATTCCATCAAAGAGATTAAAACTAGCATGATAAAGAGATTAAAACTAGCATGATGTGTCTTCATATTAGTTGCAGCTGAAATATTTTCTTATGACCATTTCAGGACCCAAGTGGCATTTCTTCGCCTGATGCATCAACCCCATGAGGCCAGTCTGCCCTATTAAGTGTGTAAGCCATAGCATAGTGAGCATGGTTTGGATAAAAGGTAAGCAGTTCTGTTGCTGAACATATCAAAATAGAATTTTGTCTATTCTCTGCAGACTGAGCTTGCTAGTTTGGGGTCACTAATAGGAATAACCGGTTGTTATATGCCACTGCTTTCATACCATAGCTGCTGTGAATTATCATCTCTTACATTGTGCTATTTTATGCTCACTTGTATCAAGTGAAAGTTGAGCACAGTGACTGAGAACAGGGAGCACATCTGTTGAATAGAAAGTTGCTATTTTTACGTATTCCAGACAAGAGCTATACTTCATAATATTAATATCCCCTCTTCTCTTCCTGTCCCATTTGGAAAGAGTAAAGAATGCAGAATGATCCAGAATTTCAGTCTCATTCAGTTGGATTGATTTTACCATAACCCCTTTCAAAAATAAGAAGCACTTCTGTGATAGCTGAGTGCATTGAAGCCTAATGGGTCTAATTTATGTGCAGCTGGGCTGTAACAATACTCTGTGAGCCATTACAGCTGTGCCTCTCAACTGAATGGCTTTGTACTAGCCCCTAGTTAGTGATTAAACTCCACATAGTAGCTTAACCTGGAGAAATTCATGGTGTTTTATGAGAACCTTCTGTGCTAAATGGCAGCAACTCCTCTTTGGAGGCAAATCTATTTGCCCACCAAATGGGTTCATCAGAAGGCCTGTCAGTAATGCAGAAAAAATATGCACGATGGAGTATAGTTGCATCTGACAGACTGCCATGGTGTGCCAACTGCCATTTCACTAGACTGTGGATATTCTGCTTCTCAAATGAATTTTGGCTATCCTAAAAAATTGGGCTGATATGTGTTGGTCCCACGAGGCTTGATGATGATAGTTGATGATAGATGATGGTAGATGATGATAGTTTTGATGAATCAAATAGTTCGTTCTTTAAAGAAAAACATTACAACATAGGAAGGACTAACAAAGGGAGGAGGGGAGAATTGGGGCTCATTTGGGCTAGTTTTGCCTGATGGCAGTCTTAGAAGATTCCAGTGGTAAAAATAAAGTCATTTAGAATAGAATTATCCAGAGAAACCAGGTGGCCCTGAAAGGGACTCATATTTTAAGTTGGCATATCAGACTTTCTCCTCTTTAATCCTTCTGGTCCTTCATTCAAGCCCATGTATTAGTTTTTTCCCTGATCTTACAATCAGCTGGTTACCTGTACCTTCTCTGAGGCTGTGCCTGGAGGTGAAGTTGGCCATTGTTGGTTATTTATGAGCAGATGCGATGCAACCTTTTTTGGAGCTTTACACAGTTTAGCATGTTTAGAGAAGGGGCTGTGTAGGACCCTACAAATGGGAATTTATGAGATTAAAGGTAAAGAGGAAGAGCAGTAATCTATTTGTTTGGGTGGGTCATGTAGAATCTAGTGGATGGCCATGGGGACCCCAGCAGAGTGAGATAAGTATATGACCAGGAAAAAAAAATCCAGTTGCGAAATGTATTGTGGAGAGAAATTAAGAATCGCTCCATCTTATATTTGTTACGATTGTAAGTTGCAGACACTTAAATCTTAAAATTTTATTGGGTAGTGATTAACACTGTTTGCTGTGCTGGAGCCTGTAGTTTTTCACTCCCTCATATATCTGACGCCAAGGAGGTATGAGATGAAGCCTCAGGATGCGGCCTAATGAATATGCCAAGAAAAATGGGCCTGGTGGAAATGTCTGTCTTAGAAATGGTAGAATGTATTTATTTTGATTGCATGTGATTATTTCCATCTTCTTGTTTTCCATCTTTAACATGCTGAAGAAACTTGTTTCCCTTCTCGTTTTCCCTAGTATCAGAGATCCTGAAGCAGAGCCTCTCTCTGTTTCCTATTTTCCTGGCAAGGCAGAATAACCCACTAGTCATGTCCCCAGGCAGGTTACCCGTAACATACTTGCAGAACTTGGGCTTAGGGAAGCACTATAGGGTAGCTATCCTGTGGCTAAGGAGCCGCATATGTTTGCATGCAGTTCAGACGTGCCTCCCATGCTATAACTTTATCACATGAAAAGCGGTGAAGTTGTGGCTGGCTGTGAGAGGAGCGAAGCTAGCAAGGGCGGATGCGTCCATGGTGCTGAGTCCCTGCAAAGCCCAGCAGCCTTCCCAGCCCAAACCTACAGAAGAGCAATGGATTTCTTCGGGAAAAACATTACCGTCTACTAATGGAACACCTTTTCCCTTCAGCTCTCTAGGGCATATAGGACATGTATCTTGGGCTTTTGGCACTGTGAAGATTTTTGCATATAATTCCTAGGGTTAGAGGCACTGGCTATTCAAATTGGCATAGACTAGCATGATGTTAATCTGTACCTTTGTTAATATGCCTCTTCTCCTCCGATCAGTTAGGATATCTAGGGAAAGGTGTTTTTTCAGTTATTACTGAAATGAGAGGTTTTGGGTTTTTTGGGGTAGATTTTGGTAGGTTGAAAAAGCAGTAAGCGATCTTCTCTTGCAGTGTTTATACCATTACATATGGAAATATAGAGATGACAACAACTTATAGGTAACTCTGATATGAGGTGGTAGCCTATCAGATTTCATAGATAACTAGAGAATTACATCATATTGTTTAAGGAGCTTAAATGATATCAGAGACCACTAGAAACTTTGTTAGGACTAGAAGCTAATTAGGAGAATGATCAGTCTCTGAAAGCTACGTTGTTAAAAGCTTTGGAGTAACAGAACGCTAGTTATTCTGAAACCTACCATATCATTTAGAAATTCTCCAATATGGATAATGTTACTTATTTCACACCATACAAGTCATGTGTGATTCAAAACTTAGCTGAAGTGTGCCATCAGCTGGTTTGATTAAAAAAGGTGATTTCCAATTAACAGTAATTTCTAAGAGGCTTTGCAAAGCCCAATGTGAGTAAAACTGTTTGACACACTCCTGTAGGCTTGCTCCAAAAATTACAGCAATAGGTTGAAAGCTATTTCTCTGCTACTTAGAAGCCCAAAGATGATCATTTCATACTAGTACATCACAGTCAATAGCAAATTCTTGATTTATTGCAGCCATAATGAGTGCAATAAATAAGCAAAAAGAATATATCTGTTCTATAATACTTCTAAATTTTATAAGCATTGTCCTTTTAGGAGGAAATTACAGCCTACCCTATGATCAAAACAGAGTTATTTAAATAGGAGATTGGCCATAACTTCAGTGGGATCAGAATTAGACTCAAAATGTACTTACATGGGTCTCACTATAACATATTACCATGGAAAGACCTTAGAACGTGGCTTTCCTGTCATTGCTCACTGAGCTGGGGGATATTTGATCTAACCACAAGCCACATCCCTCCCTGCCAACTTAATGAGAGAATATGCATTCAAGGCCACAAAAGGAAACGGCTCTCCCTTGGGGTCTAGCATTGTTAAATTGACCCTAAATATTTTCAGTACATCTGTTTATGGCTCATTCTCTGTTACAGGCTTTACAAAAATGTCACAGTGTCACTAAAACTCCTAATAATGAAAGCCTCAGTTGGAGGAAGGGGTAAACACCAATTTTCATGGTTTGTACCACTTTATGTAAAAATTCAGTTAGCAGTTTCATGATTCACACTTAGTTGCAAGAGATGAAAACAGCTTCCAAACATGACCTGAAAAGTCCTAGGAGACATTCTCAGGAGTTCTGTTACAGTAATGTAGTACTGAAGTGAAAAATATTAATGAAAGTGAACCTCTTACACTACTGCAGGTTTTTGACTGTTTCTCTTCTGACCTAAGTGGCAAAGTAAAAGCTTCTAGAAATGCAATACTATTTTCAAAGTATGCTGAAAGAATGAATGGCTCTGCGTGGTTGTTCTAATGCTGGGTTTGAGGCCTCCAATGGTCAGTGCTCTTTTGTGCTGTGTCTCCAGCGCTGGTTATGATGGATTTGGAATGATTTATGAATGTTGATTTTAGAAATCAGATCCTCTGGTAGCCTGCATGTTTACAGGACGCTTATTAATGTGCTGAAATGTGCACTGTGAGCTCTTATCAGTGCTGGTATTTTCAAGCTTTCGAAAAACAACATCGTGAAAGATAGAGGAGTTTACATCTGTTTGGTGATAAGGTAAACATGGAAGAGAAGCAACTGCAGAAAGCTTCAAGAGCATACTAAGAGTTACAAAGATCAACTTGACCTCCATGAGGGTTTTGTTTTGAAGTGAAAATCATGTGATGAGGGAACCTAGCTGAATTCAAGTTCTACATTAATAAGTGCAAGTGTTTAAACTGTTGCAAAATTACTTTAATCTTTGACATTATTTTCCATTTCTAAAGTGCTAATGTACAGTGAAGTACAACAACAGTAAGAATTTTACAGGTGAAATCAGCGTCAACTAGTACCCTGGAGAGGTACAGACAATACTGTGCAACTGCATTGCTCACATCCACTCTCAGGCATCCAAACATGCAGGTAGCACACATGTACACACACACATTCATATACATTCCCCCCTGCCCACCCCCATATTTATACATTCTTTCTATAAACATATGTGTTTGGCTGTTCTTCAGCACTTCCACGATATCTAAATAATTGGCTCTGCTCTTCCCTGCGTTTACCTGGCCCCTTCCCTGTATTCTGTAGCCTCTCTGGCAATTGACTTGAAATATGGTTGCTCCCCAGACTCTGCCACTCTTGTGATGGGAGCCTGCCTGTCCCTCACTGGCTTTCTTCTATTGCCATACTGAGAAACTGTGCATAGGTCCATTTCTTCACCTGGGCTAAACATCCAATGAGTTAGTGAAGAGGAGAACAGAGTCCATGCAGAGAGTGTTTTGAATTTGTTCATTCCAGCGTCATGTCTGCTCTGCAGTTAGTTTTGCCATTCAGTGCGTCACAAACGGCCTCGCAGTTCCTATTGCTGGAAACTTGGTTGCCAGCAGCAATGTGTCCGTTGCCCTCTGTTAAGAGATTGAAGGTAAAGAACTGGCACGGATCCTTTTGCCTGTTGCCTTCCTGTAAGGGGCTCAGGAAAGAGCTGGAGTTTCTCCACTCCTGGAATGTGCACATCTCCATATGCGGGTGAGTGATTCTGCTCAGGTAGCCCGGGCTAGGAGATGCTGAAGATAATGTCCTCTGACTGCCACTGAGGAAACTCCCACTATCTTCCAGAGAGTCCTTCCTAGGGTGTTCAAAGGAGCACCGATTCCAGTTTCTGTAGCTGTAGGCCCACCATCCCAGCTGCTTTCGACGGTGGCACTGGCATTTTAGGATTTGTATAAAAGCCCTCTTGAACTCTTTGCTTGAGCAAGGGTAGATGATTGGATTCAAGCAGCTGTTAAAGTAGCCAAGCCAAAAAATCACCTTGAAGATCGTTTCAGGGGGCTTCAGAGCAGAAAACAGAGAGCCTGTCCGGAAGAAACAAACAGAAACAATACCTGAGGTAATTGGTTTCCTGTCTTTAGGAAAGGCAAATGTCTCTTCAGATAACTAGTAGACTCTCTTTGTTAAAAATCCCTCATGCCTGCTGCTTTTGTTAAAGTCTTTTGGTGATAATATGTCATTTTTATTTTTAAAGCTAATAAGGGAATGCTTATTTACCACGCAAAAGCTAAAGAAGCACATACTTAACATAGAATTAAAATAAAGAGCAGTCTTTGTGTTTATATGTGCATATCTGTTGCACTAACATCTGTGGATCCCAAAGAAAGATCAAATCTCCATTGACCAAGGTGCTACATAATGCACACATGGAGTAAGGCTGTGCTTTCTTCAAAGAGCTTTTCAATATCATTTTCTAAGAAAAAGATCCAACTATTCCCAGGCTTTTCATTTGCCCTCATCTTGGGAAGGAGTATGCTCGGACATAGCTTATCAGTTCTAATACATTCTCCGGCAGCTCATAAACATAACCACATCTTATCTAGATTATTGTAACAGTACAAACCTCTTGAAACCTGAAGTTAATTCTGGTAGTTCACATAGCCATTCATAAAAATGATGTAACTCAAACAGTAAGATTATTTCATGAATATTTCATCTTTCATTTGCAGCCAAGGAAATCCATTTAGTGTACTTTTAGCATTAAAAACATGCAGTTGGTCAACTAAATTTAGCAAATGTAGCTTTTTAAAAGGATATCTGAAATTTTTTAAGCAAAGCAAGAATTCAGTAGTTACTCATTTGGGAAATCACCTTTCTGTCTGGCTAAAGTAATAAAATACAAGGGGTTTAGGACAGGAGCCTCATTTTAAGAGCTGGGGTTGGATTTTAAGAATTTTTCAAGAGGAAGTGGCACGTCTCTGAGAACAGTGACCTGGTACTCTGGTGCGGTTTCAGACGCCCCGGGCTGTGAAAGCAGCCGGTCAGTGGTAACCGTCAGAATGCTTTAGCGGGGAGGGATGTCATTCTAGGCATGTTTCCCACCTCTTGTAGCAATGTAGAGGCCATGGCTTGAGCCTCAAAATTGTGCAAAAGCACTTCCCAGCTACTTGGGTAAATAGCTCTGATGTGCAGCAGCAGATACCGCTTTTTTTCTGGATGACACTGCTGGCCTGGTGCTGACTATGGGGATCTGAGTCTCCTTAGTTCCCAAGGAAGCCAAAGGGAGGTAAGTACGTGCCATTCCTCACTCAACTCCCTGCCCTCCTCTGTGTGTCAGCTAGTCCCCGAGTGGGTTCGGAAGAGAAAATAACATGCTATTGCGTCGGCCATCTGGAAAGTCTCATCCTCCCCCGCACTTGGGCAATAGGAGCCAGGAGGGATACTGTGCATCCAGAGGAAGAGTTCCTTCCCTTGGCAGTGTATTGGGGTGGTGCAGGCTAGCACTGGTTCTGCCAATTACCTCGGAGTTAAGCAACGCTCCTGCCCTTAGGTTGAAGTGGAGGTGTTAAAGTACAAGGTTCATAGTACTTCTTTCATGACTTCTGCACTTGACTAACTTCTTCTCCATGTGCAAGGCTCTCATAAGTTGACCCCACATCCTGTATTGCTTTGTCACTGCTACTAGCTTGCAGGTTTTGACAAATGCCTCTTCTCTCCATCTGATGGAGGTCCTAAATCGTGGTCCTGATTTCGTATTGCAGAAAGTGCTGAATACAACATATGAGGATGCTATGAATTGTATCCAATAAATTTGCAACAGACAAATCAAAGCAATGCAAGTACTTAAGCTGTTTTGTTAGTGTTACATACTCTTTGATGAAAGATTCAGCAACAATTTATGTGATTCGAATGAATAAGCCATTAAGTGAGTGTCAGTCTTATAAAGCTTTAGTGAAAGTTTTTTAGGTCTATAACTGCAGACAAGGTGAAGAGGATGCTCCAAAACCCCCTACATGCACAGCTGCAAACTTTGTCAGGATTAATTTTCTAAGTAATAATTGCAACATTTTTCCATTGAATTTAGGGAAAAGAGAAGCTCTGTGACTGTACAAAACAAGTAAAAATGTGATGATGTACAAAGAGCAACTTTTTGGAACTCAAATTGTTAAATTTCTTAAATTGTTTTCTGAAAGTCCTTTAAAATACAGATGGTCTCTCATAGCCCAGTAAAGTTCATTGAGTAGCTGAAGAGCTCCGAAGAGCTCCCATTTTTTCTTGTGTGCAAGTCCTGAATGGGCAATCGTGTGTTTTTCCAGATCAGTTGGTTTGCTTCTCTCTCCTTATGTAATAACTGAAAATGTACAGGACTTTATTCTACAAGATTTTGATATTTTTACGCAGGTTCAATGTGGACATAGTAAATGTTAGGGGATAGTTTTCAATAAAATTAAAAAATAATTTATTAAGAAAGCTTGCTGACAGATTTTGTGAAATTCCCTAAGGACAAATAACATAAGCTAGAAAAGAAAACTGGGAACCAATGCAGATAAATGGGTTGTGCTTGTAGAACCTATGTTGCACATGAACAGAATATAAACACATACTGTAAAGACTAAGAGACCAAGCACAGAAAAAGGTAAAAAGTGTTAAAAAATGGATAATATTTGTAAAGTCCTTAAAGAAATGTGCGTTGCTTAAGAAAAGAAGGTAAGGAGCTTATGTCTGTCTTATGCCTTTAGGATAATCTATTTTTCAAATGTTGTTCGAAAAAAATGACGGCAGGCCATTTTCAGTGGTTGCAGCAGGCGTTTTCAAAGCTCTTTTGTGTTAAAGGATAGCTACACAAAAGAGCAGAGGATTTATTAGTAACAACATGACTGAGGGAGGCACCTTGTTTTCAGTCCTGATTCTAGAAATATCACTGAGCCCTGATCAATCATTTAAAAGCCATGATCTTTGCTTTCCCCAGCTGAGTGATTAACAGAGAAAATCTGGAAATATATCAGTTTGGAAAGCTGTGAGGTGGTGTGATTTAAAAATAAAGGAGAGCTCAGTGTTTAGCTGCAACAGTAGAAAGGTTTTGAAAGTCTAAGAAATACAGGAATAATATGCAAGATAGTTAATTAAAACAGTGACGATTAACTACTTCTTTGTTCTCCATTTTTTCTCAGTTCTGCAAACAGCACAATGAGAATGTTGCTTAGACTTTTTAATATTATACACAAGGTATAAGATTAATTTTTCACAAGAAGAGCAGGAAGAATTATTTGTTTTTGAACAAGAAATGCTAATTTGATAAATAAGCTACTGATTTATGGATCGATGTGCTAATAGTGCTAATAGCTCTTATTTGTGGCTGATGTACAAAAACTGAATAGAATTCGTCTTAACCCCTCGACTCTTCCTGATATATATATATACATATACAACTCTTTTGAAGGGAGATGAATTTCGCTTAGTCTATGATATAATGCACAATTACTTCCGAGTTGTTTAAAAAGTATGGTGGTGTGACAATTATTCAAAGAAGGCCCTAGCAAAAAGAGAGGTCACTGCAATCCCAGTGAAAATAAGTTCCTATGTGGGAGCATGACTCATTTGCTCTTAGACAGTACTTTCCATCTGTTGATCATCTCACAATGCTTTACACCATCCTCCAGTGGGCAATGTGACCCAGGGAAAGGTAAAAGTGGTCAGCAGAAGGTCACATGCTAAATCATTTTCACCAGGGAGAAAGTCCTTGTTTTACCAGGAATAGAATCATGAGACCTAGCACAACTCTCTTAACTGCTAGAACACACTGTGGGTAGTACAGAGCTTTACAATAATGTGTTTGGTGGGTCCTACTACCCCTGTCCCGTGCAAAAGAAACACAATGCAAGAATATTTTCTGGAATTGGCGGAAACTGATCCACATGAGCAGATAACCTTGCTGGCACTGCAGAGGCTGTGGGAATGTGTGGTCGCTTTTGTGACCGTAGCAAAATCCCACCTCTGATGCAATTCACAGCTAATGAAGAGGAGCATTAGAGAAGGCCACAGATGCTCTGAAAAATAATAGTTTCATAATAAAACTTTCATCATGGAAGAAGAGGGCTGAAGAGAGACATGACAATTAGTCTTGAAAGGCATAAAATTTATCAGCAAAGAGGAAAAGAATGAAATTGTTTTCCATGTCCACAGTGGCTAGCATATGAAACACAGATTTGAATTGCAGCAAGAGAAATCAAGCGTACAGATTAGGAAATGCTTTCTGTTCTGGAATATGTTGCCTAAGAAGGGCGTAGAAATACAACACTGAAGGCTTTTAAGAACACAGTAGACACATATCTACTGATTTATGTATAGCTGATCCTGCCTTTGGGTTGGAGGGCACTCTGGATGACCTCTTCAGATCCCTTCTAGGCCTGCTTTCCCTGATTGACTCTGCAGAATATAACTTTGTTCATCAGGAAAACTTTATGGCTTAAGTTTTGGCAACCTGGCAGAGTTTTACGTTTGCAGAACTGGAATCTCACTGACAGTGTAGTCTTAGATGCTCTTGGTAAATATATCTGTTATTTAGGGTGAGGATTAACTGTTAGAAAAATGGAATGTACGAGACAGATACTTATTTGGGCACTTATTCTCTTCAGAGCTTTAAGAAGTTCCTGATTTTTTTTGTGTTCAGTCCCTCCTTACTGGGTGGAATCCCAGCCTGAGTCTTCTACAGCGAGGGAAGAAAAGATGTTCGTTATTATCCAGAAGGTGGTTTAGATGGATGTCCCTATGCATGCCACACACTTATAAATATAGTTTAATTTAGTGACTGTTGTACAAAGCTCCACTGCCTCTCACTATATAAAGATATGAAAAATATTTTGATTAGCTCATATATTTTTAACATTACCCTTTTCCTTACCTTGTTCTTGGAATTAACCTTTTATTTAACTGTACACATGCTTTACCTCATAACTAACCTGTTAGGAGCAAACAACTGCGGGCTATTTTGGTACCTTGATAAAATGATAAAGCTAAGCCTACCAGACACACTCGCCAAACATCAAACTAATATTTCCTTCTCTAATCTCCAGTTATTTTCCCA